TTTTCTTTAGATTGTTGCGTGGTTGAAGGTTGTTAAGCACACCCTTATATGAATTGGTATTCTTTGAGTTAGTTTTATTCCGATCATAGGCTCAAATCCATAAGCTTCTTGGCACGTAATTAGGCAACACATGTCCTCCTCGACATTTTTCACATTCCCAGGGTTGTAGATTCCTAATTTGCAAAACCCATTCATATTATTTAGCTCCCAACTCTATACCCACTTGCATCTTGTAGTGATCCCGATTAGGACATTGATCAAAAGTGGGAGAATGCAAATGTCTTAACTTTCCAATCCTCCAAATATATCAAGCTCAATTCGTGTAACAAATAATATCTTGAAGTATGAAAGACCCCTTCTTTTTATTAGTGACTCGTGAAAGAAAGATTTTTATATCAAAACATCAAAATAAATCTTGATATCCTCCATAGTCTTTCCTTGAAAACCAAAAAGCTTGATGAGATCAAATGCAATCTACATTCGGGTTGAGTCATCTTTATCAAATTTATGCACCTTGGAGTGGTTGTAGGGGTCAACATCATTTTATTAAAGAAAGTGCTTCTAAACCTCTTACTAGTTGTACTTTCCCATAGCTGGCCTCCAGTTGGCAAGGGTATTGCTCTTTTCATCTTTTTCATAGTTTTCTTTGCTTGGTTTCCATATTTTATGATATTTCTTCTATTAGATTAACTTCTTTTTTTTTTCAGACTAGGATGGTGGTGGTTTTGTTTATGCTCTTTCTAATCGGATGGTGGTGGTTTTGTTTTTAATCCCAATGGTTCTATCAAATGATCAATAATTTTAAAAATCATGTATTTCTTGGCTCAAACGGTAATGGTAATGCTCGGATCTCTAGTTCATTTAAAGATGTGGTAGCTAGTAATAATTCGCCATTTGTTCCAAACATCTTTGTTGTTCATATTTCTTTTAAGGGTGTTCTGGATGTGTTGTTTTTGGATAAAGATGTTCTTAAATATGCTTCTTCTTTTTAATTTACTTTGGTGGAAATTTTTTTCTTGGAAGACCTAATCTAGATTTGATTTAATATTTTTTTAACCTTAAATTGTCTAGTTTATTTTTAGTTTATTTATAGGATGTCCATCATGTTTCCATCCAGCAATCAAATGATTTGGATTATAGTAATGTGTTTGGCAAGTGATCCTATTTTATTAATAATTTTCAAATGTGTTTACTAAAATTGACATCTTTTATTGATATAAAAGAAGAATCCCTAATTGTCCCTGTATGGATTTCATTTTCAAATCCTCATTTACACATGTTTAATCCTCATGTATTACATGCTCTGAAATGCATTATTTGGTCATCCCTTACAAATCGATCAAGCAACAGCTTCAAGAACTAGGCCATAAGTGCCATGTATTTTAGTAGAGCTCAATATTAGGAAGAAATATACTAAGCAAATTTGGTTGGGTTCTAAAACTTTTGGATATATGCAAATTGTTGATTTTAAAAATGTTTTATAATTTTGTGATCACTGTAAGATTTATGGGAACACTATTAACTAAAGTTTTATTTTACATCCTTACCTTAGAAAAGAAAATAGTTTTTCTCAAAGAGTTGATATGTAAAAGTAAGTTAAGTCTATGAACAAAATTAACAATAATAACTTGGTTATTTTTGATCCCTCTAATTCTATTATTGTCAATAATTTCCTAATTAATAGGATTTTTTATATTCTTGCTACTCCTGGCATGGTTTTAAATTATCATCATATCACTCATAATGAGAAGCCTAACCAGGACAAGCATGATTATCTTAATGAGGATATAGATGAGCCTATTCTTATTGAATCCACACATATTATTAAGAAAACTTATCTTCTAGATGTTCCTGCTTTGGGTCTTTTGATAATTTGGGAAATGATAACATTTCAATTAGTGGTTATGCTATTATTATTTATATTCCTATTGCTCATGTCTTTAATCAATTGGCCCCTTTTGTTGGGTTAGTTATTTCATTTGGTTGTGTTAATGTTGCTAATTTAATACCTATAATTTCCATTATGATTTCTCCTATTTCTATTGATGTGCCTCAAAATAATTTGGAAGGGTTGCTTCGGGAGGTCAATTGTTTCCTCTAATCAAATTAGCCTTTTTAGTCTATATGGGAATAAGGAGAGATTCTTTCTATGGATGAAGGTTTCTTTTATAAAGATATTTATTTTAATATTTATTTTAATGTCGTTCAAGTTTCCAGAGATGATTTTAATAGTGCTTATAATAACAAAAATAAGAAAATTATACATAAACATATGAATAATAATTCTTCTGAATTTAGAATTACTAAAGCTAACATTGCTCTTAAACGTACTCTTAATGATAAATTCTATTACTTGCTATTTTAGAGGTGTGGGTTTGATTGTTAGGGGGGTGTTGCGGCTATTTGGGATTATGTGGTTTAGAGGTGGTTTTTGTGTTGGTTTTTCTTTTTGTGGTTTCTAGTTCTGATGTCTTCTATTTTGAGACAGTTGGTGATGCAATTCTCTATTATTGGTTTGGTACTACTTCATTGCAGTGGTTTTGTTGGAATTGGTAGGCCAGTTGGCTTCTTGGTTGGTTGTGGTGTGTGAATTTGCTAGGTTTTTTATTGGATGTGTGGTTTTGACCTAGTAACTTGGGTGCTTCCCCAAAGGTTTGCTTTGTTTGATAATACACTTCTTTGATCTCATATCTCTCTCTCTCTTAATTTTTATTGATCTTATGTTTTTTTCCTTCCTTTCCCCTTTTATTTTGCTTTCACTCTATCTACTTAGGAGATGGTCAGTTTTATATTTTTTTGGGTGCTCTGAGTTTGACTGCTATAGGCTTATCTCTACTACTCTGAATTTCTTTTGGTGGGGTTGTCTTCTCTATGACTTTTAGGTTCATCTTGTAGATTTTATGGCTAGCTCCCTTGTAATCTAATCAACTCCTACTTTTGTATTTTGTCATGTCCTGGCTATGGAAGACATTACTTTCTAGATTGAGTTTTCAGCACTCATTCAATTTCCACTCTAGTGATGTGGATCTCTTTGTGGCTTCTTAGGTTTTCTAATAGGATCCTATTTGTGGTTCCTAATTTATCATATTATTTATTTAAGCTTAGGCTTAACTTTAGGTTTTGTCTTCTTACATATATTATTTTTCTTTTTATTTTTAACTAGTTTGGGAGCATGTGCTCTAAAGGTTTTTTTTTATTGTAGCTCTGGAAGAATTAGCAAACTTTTTTTTCCTTTATGGACGTTGCAAACTTTCTTTTGATGAAATAAAATCCACACCCAAAAAATGCTTAAAAAAAAACAAACAAAAAAAACTTTCCATGGAAGAAGGTTTTCTTTCTTCTTAAGATAAATAAATCATCTTTCTTAAACATTCACAACTACTTTATTTAAAACATTAACTATTCTTAAAAAATGAAAAAAAAAGGAAAGACGCTATTCTCCTTCAAGGTTAAAAAAAGGGTAGAGCTAACCCAATATGGTAGCATAAAATTGCCTTGTAATTGAAGGCTTTCGAGCTAGGAAGGAAGATTTTTTTTTTTTTTTTCAAAATTCAATCTTTATGGAAATTCTTGCTAGATAGTTATGCTCAAGGAAAGATGAGACCCTCTAAAGTTTCCAGAGAAACACATACGGAGCTTAATATTTTTGGGGTTTCTAATCCACACTGATTTTTAGCATCCTTAATTAAATTAGTAACCTTAGTTCCTCTACTATTTCCATATTGTTAATCTTCAAGCTCCCCAATGTTTGAAATTTTTTTAGATTTCTAAACACTTCAAGATTCATCTTAGAATTAACATTAATAAATGGAAAAATAAAAAAAAAATCTAATTTTTGCATTAGAATATGGTAAAGCTCTTTTAGTATTACAATTGAAGAATATAGCTGCCGTAAGCCAATATCACATATATCTAGTGTCACCAAATTCCTAAGCTTACTTTATGATTTGGAGAAGGTTGACTTAATTTTTTTTTTAAGATTTTAGATTAGTTTGTTTTAGGCTCAAATATCATAATTAAATACCTTAACTCAGAAAGGATTCATTTGTTGGTACCTTTTCTTGCTTAATAATCAATTAAATAATATCCAAACACGATGATTCTTAGCAATCCTAATCTTGTAAGCATGGTTGGTATACTTTGATAATCATAATTGATAATGATGTAACCTGAAATAGGTCAATGTCATCTGGAATGCATCTAATTTGATTGCTTTCTATCATAAGAGATAATTGTTGCACTATATTTTTGGCTCTAAGAATTGTTCTTCTCTAGTTACCATTAATTGAAACCATATTTTTGTTCAATTATTTGAAGACAAGAACTTCAAGAATGACATTATGAATTTGATAGCATATCACCTTGCCATTCCAACCCACTTCTCATGACAAGACAACACTTCTACTAACAAACTCATTGAAGTAGTTCTTTACCCTAACCTCTATGCTAATGGCATATTTGTTGCCCACTAGCCCTTCATCTACCTATAGTTGAATCAAATTCTTGTGTATGATAATATGTTCTTCTTGAAAGATGCTAAGATATAAAATATTAGCCTTGAGAAGGTATGGGAAGTGATTTCTGTGTATGATGAGATGTCACTTAGCATTTTTTACTAATGTCGATTACAACTAATATACAATCATTAAAAAAGGAAATTTAAAATAAAAAATAAAAATAAAAAGCACATTGATAATTAAAGCATTAAAATTATAATTAAATATTTTTGAACATACATCACATCATTTCTCTTGAACATAGAATAACTCTTACATAATGAGATAAATTTCAAATACTTAAGTAAATGTCCAATATCAAGAAATGTGCCATTTTGGAGGGTTGGTTGATGGAGGTAAATAAGCAAAATCAAATCATGTAAAAGAGGAGATATATTTTTTGCTGGTAGGTTAGCTATTCAATCCCAAAGCTTTTATGTTAGTAAATTCAAAATCACAACAAAGATTGGATTTTGATAAAATCACAACTAACTTTTTAAATAGTTAGTTATCTTTCACATTAATTGCTGTAAGTTTGGGAATGTTCTTATGTGTATCTACATCCGAGTTCAATACTTCTATGATTCTCTTTGGCGCTGAAATAAGTTGAATCTCTTGGAGGCATGGCAAAAATCCAATACCAATGACACGAGTCAATGACCAACCTCCGTTGATTACAAGTTTCTTAAGAACAGGCATGCATTCGATTTGGAATTCAATGGATTTCAATTCCTCCATTCCATAAATATGCAACAACTTCAATCTTCGGAAGCCTCCTTTGGTAAATAGTAACTCAACCGAAGTATAATAAAAGCTTGAGAGAGTAAGGTAGAGCAAGTTGGGCAATCTCTTGATGACTCCCAAGTCGTTATCCAAATTTTTATTATCAATAATAAGAGTCAACGTAGCTAAGTTGTTTAGAGAGCTAACCCAATATGGTAGATTACAACCGCCTCGTAACTGAAGGCTTTGAAGTAAGTAAGGATGATTATTTATGTTCAAATTGAATCTTTCAGGAGGTTCTGGCCAGACTGTTAAGCTCAAGGAATGAAGAGTCCCACTTAATTTGTTTAGAGAAACACATGCAGAGCTTAATATTTTTGGGGATTTTGAATCCACGCTGATCTTTAGTATCCTCAATTGAGTTAGGAACCCTAGTTCCTCTGCTATTTCCATATTATTAATCTTCAAGCCCACCAATGTTTGCAAATTTTTTAGGTTTAGCAACACTCCAGAATTCATCTTATAATTAACATTAAATAATGGCAAAATGAAAGAGTCTGAATTTCGCATTAGAAGATGGCGAAGTTGTTTTAGTTTTGCAACTGAAGAGTACAGTCGGCGTATGCCAACATCACGTATGTCCAATGTCACCAAATTTCGAAGCTTACTTAAGGATTTTGAGAAGGTTGACTTCATTTTTTTTGTTGGATAAGATTTTAGACTAGTTCCTTTTAGGCTCAAATATCGAAGATGCCTAAACTTAGAAAGTATTTGCAAGAAGCTAACTTTTTCTTCATCGCAATCAAATGAATAATTTTCGAACACCAAGACTCTCAGCAATCTGAATCTTGGAAGCAAGGCTAGGATCATTTGAAAATCATAAATTAATAGTGATGTAACTTGTGATACGTTCACATCATCTGGAATGCCTCTTATTTGATTGCTTTCTCTCTGAAGTGATAATCGTCGAATCACATTTCCATCTTTAAGACTTGATCTACTATGCTTACCATGAATTGAAACCATATTTTCCTCCATTGACTTGAATATAAGAACTTCAAGCATGATATCATGAATTCGATAGCTTTTCACCTTCCCATTCAAACCCACTTCTGACGGCAAGATAAGACTTCTACTAACCAGCTCATTAAAGTAGTACTCAGCCACAACCTCTGCGCTCATAGCATATTGGTTGCACACTAGCCCTTCAGCTACCCAAAGTTGGATCAAATTCTTACGTATAATGAGATGGTCCTCTGGAAAAATGCTAAGATATAAAAAACAAGGCTTGAGAAGGTATGGGAGGTGATTGTAGCTAAGGAGCAGCACCTGCTTCATGCCTTCAAGGCTTTGATTTGTTTCAAACACTGAGGATAAGTTGTTGAGCAAGTTAGTCCATTGTTGATGGTCATCTGGGGTTGGCATGCTTTTGAGAACGCCGGCCATTGCAACAATGGCAAGTGGAAGTCCACCACATTTTGCAATAAGATCATTGGCAACATTTTCTAGATGCTCCGGGTAGCGCTTATTGTGACCAAACACTCTCCTTTGGAACAATTCCATTGATTGTTCCTTTGAGAGTAGCTGCAGCTTGTAGACATAGTCAACCCCACTGGCATCAGCACAGCAATTGTTCGCAACTTCTTCTATCCGTGTTGTGACTATTACTCTACTTCGATTGTTGTTTTCAGGTAGAGCATGCTTTATGCTCTCCCATGCATCAATGCTCCATATGTCATCCAACACAACAATATAACGCTTATTTTTTAGTAACTTTTCAAGTTGATTGATGAGATCCTCATTACTTTGCATGTTGTCAAATTCCTCCTTACTTTCAATTTTGTCAATATAATTCTTTTGTATTTTCTTGAGATCCATTTTATGGTCGAGAGATGCAACCTGCTTGATGATGTCTCTAAGAAGTACATTCAGATTGAATGTCTGTGAGATGGTAATCCATGCACGACAGTCAAAATACTCACCTATCATTTGTAGGTCCTCATATACCCGTTTTGTGAGAGTGGTCTTACCAAGTCCGCCCATGCCTAACACAGAGATGACCCTACATTGCTTCTCATCCCTAATTAGTAAATTTGTAAGCTTTCTTCGAGGTTCATCAATGCCCACCAATTGATCCTCTTGTATGAACAAGGCACCAAGTCGATAGTCGACGAAGCGAGGGCCCATTGAGCTAGAAGCATTATAGTAGCTTGAGGGTATTGCAGTAATGCCATAACGCAATCGACAATCACTTATGTGAGCAATCCTGTATTTAAGGTCTTGAATCTCAGCTGCAATCTCATGCCGAACATGTAATGTGCAAAGTGATCGGAGTCGAAAACCCAACCAATCTAAGAAACTGCTGCAATAGAACAACACTCCTTTAGAAATTTTTTATTTTAACAAGATATGGGTTCAAACATATCCCAAATTTCACCTAATGATAGTAGTGATATAATATTAAGGTTGCTCTAAATTAATTAAAAAAAAACATTTATTAAGTTTAATAAATTTAATTAGCTGATTTTTTAGTCTATACATTTGATAATATGGAATCTAGTTTAACACATTTTAATGAAAATTATAATATCCAACAAAATAAAACTATATCTTAACATTTGATTTAATTATTTTAAGATTTATTTATTTTTCTTTAATAAGAAATTGAGTTTAATGCGCATATATATATATATCTTAAACGGGGTCAATTTGACCAAAGTATCCAAAATCTATATTTGACATTAAACCAAATTAAAGCTCGCCAAAACATAGCTCACTGAGGAGGACTTATCAAGCCATCCCAATTAGGGTATATACTTGTATCGATCGAATGATGACTACAAATTACTAAATCACAAGGACCTAATTCACATACTAAACTCTGACTTAATAGCGAAACCATAAATTCAGTGCAATTATCTTGACTTCCCTGATAAAATTAGCAGGACATCTACGATAAAATTAATTTAAACCTTTATTTACTCTAGATCACAAGTATAAATCCTAAGCAAATATTCATCGTCCACTGCTAGGAACTTACCCCATTTGAACTATGTCTTCTAAAATTATATTTTTAATCATCCCAAATCACCCTAAATTTGATTAGTCTTATTATTCTTTCAACCATATCCCTTTAAAATCCTCATCCTTTTATTACAAACTCAATTATTACCTTCTTGAACTTTAAACTAAGGGACCATAATTTTGTATGAATTTTAATATAACAAAAGGGCTACTCACCATCTTATATATTGAATTAGAGTGAAGCAAAGAAAGAGGAAATATGATTAAAATATTTTAACAACAAATATTAAATTTTATATGGAGGACTTGCCTCAAAAAACTTCTGAGTCAATCCAAAATGTTTAAGATTAGTGAATCCTTTTCTTTTCGTAAAAGTTTCATTTTATATTAATAGCTTGGAGATATAGTATATTTTTAAATATTATATGGTAAAATTAGTGCGATATTGGACCAACGAAGAAAATAATTGATCTTTGAAGCTGGCAAATGGAGCCGTCATGGATGACTTTGTACAGATTCGGGAACACTTCGAGCAGTTTTTTTTTTTTTCGGAGGTGAAGAATGAGGTTAAGAATGGGGATAGGGTCTAGTAAAATGGATTTGTTTCTGGATTTAAGTGCAAAAGTGTAGTTTGCATGGCACTGAGAGATATAAATCAAATGTGGAGTTATCTTGGGCTGGAAGAGATCGATAAGTTTCCTGTTGATGTGCCCAATATTGAAACTATTAACTGTGCTTTGAGCACATTTCTTTATTAAATAGTTTAATTACTATGTTATAAATTATGAAAATGCCTATTTTTTAAATAATTTATTCCGTACTTATAATGAAGTCTGAAATGTAATTTCATTCAAATAAAAATATTTTTAAAGTTCTAATGATAATCTTTGAATTTGACTTAATACTATACCTTTATTCATGTAAGCTCTAGTTAACTACTGTATCCATAATATATAGTTATTTTATTCTATTACTTATGCGCATTCTTCATGTCATACACATTGACGCACACTCATATAAAGTTTATTCATTTTCTAAAAAGAAATATAAAATTATAAATTCAATCATGCATATATAGATTTTTCATTAATGAAAATGCATGAATAGATTAAAAGAAAAAACATATATGATTAACTAAGGGAACCGCGTTGCATTCATCTCCTTCAACACATAAACAAGTTTTGAATGCTACCAAAGCTAGCAAGTCCAAGCCTCCTTGGATACAAAAATCTAGAAAATGAGTTTGAATTGTAGGTTTACCTCATGCATGGAGGATAAATAAGGATATGTTGTTTGTGATTTAATGCATACTGAAGTAAAAATTGGATCATCTAAAGGTATATATTCAAATTAATATATGGAATATATATCGATGAGAGAGTGTAAATTAAAATTAAAAGATGTCAAATTGAAAGTTGTTTAACAATTTTTGTCTATGTTCACAAGAAAAAAACTTGATAAGGTGGTGTATCACTTAAAGGGAGAAGAAGAAGAAGAAGAAGAAGATTGTAAGATATCTCGCTCATCTTCACCATTTATAGAGTTTAATATTTCAATAATTTTAGAAGCTTACAAAAGCTTAAGGATTGAAAAGTCTCTTGCACCAACAAGGAAAGGGAGTAAAATATATTCCTTGATACGGCTCATAAATGCTGAGGTGAACAAGCTAAATGATGGTCAAGGAGATTAACTCTACCGATTATAGGAGTGCCCAACATGGAGGAATTATTCCAACATGATGGTTAAAGCCAAGGAGACCTCTCTGACGCGCCGCACCCATACCCTCGCCATGAAATCCGTCTCCTGCTTCTCTTCTGCACTTCTGAGAAAGGCCTTCATCATCTCAAGCTCCTCAATTATATAGGTGATTTCCCTCCGAACACCTAGCAAAAGGCCCGCTTCCTTTGATGCCAGATTATTCAGGTTTGTCAGATTTGAACTTATCACTCCCTGCACGAATGAAGTGATAACGTTCTGAGCTAATGCCTCCGCCATATCAGCTTATCTCTCGTTCTTCTGCAGATGAAGAAGAGCTACTGGGCTATTTATAGTATTTTAGAATGGATTAATACTTGAAAGCAAAGAATAGTTCATTAAATTAATGAAGTAATGCCAAAAGTGTACTTAAAGTAAACACAATGCATAAGATAACAAAGAGAAATTGTTCTTCCAGAAAGCAAGTTGTTCCTTCCTCCGGCCTTTGCCAACAGATTATTCTTGCCTTCGTTGGCGTTCATGGCATCATACGTACGTAGCCCCTTTGATGCTTAAACTCATCGGAAAGAAATTGTTGTCAGAACTTTCGAATCAATTCACTTTACATGAGCAAGAAAGCATTAATCTTATTGAATACGATACCTGTTTAGAAAGCAATAATCTTACTAAAAACCTTACTTGTTAAGGGAAACTCCAATGCGGTTCTTGCTTTGCTCCAACCAACTGTCATTTCATTGCGGATGAACAGTGCGACGTTAATATTGGCGTCGCACTATTCATATTCGCCATTTTTTTAGTCTCTACCAAATTTGCCGAAGAAATGCGTGAACGACCGTTATGGGTAAAATGACGTTCGATTGAAGGTGAATCGAGACAATCTTTTAGTTTCATGGCATTTTGTAGCGAAAAAATAGATTTTCGATTGGAGATGCCCTAAGAAAGAAATCTTCCTACCTGCAAATTTCTAATATTATTTTTTCTCTTTGAAATATTAAATGCGTCATTTACTGATTTTGTGCAGACAGCTGAGTTATTGGATGAAATCTGTCGATGGATGATCGCATACCCTACTTGAAAACTTGTTGGGCTTTTACATAATTGAAAAGAAGAAAAAGTGCATGTAAATGAAAGAGCTTTCAAACTTCGATGCTCTATTCATGTTGCTCTATCTGAATAGTGAACTATTCGATCTGGAGATTGGATTTGCGGCCAGACGGTCGGCGGAAACAATTTCTTCCCTTTTACTCGCACTCGAATCCCCTAAGCTTTCCGAAAAAAAAAATAAAAATAAATCTTAAATATTCATAGGTTTAATAGTGATGTTGGAAAGACAACCATAAAAATATAATGATACAACAATATATGAGTTGGCTAGCTGTTATAGATATGTGGAAGCATAGCAATTAAACATTGATGATATATATCATACAATATAATATGCTATTTCATAACTTTTTGTTTTACTTTTTCAGTAATTAATACTACTTAATTATTTGAATTTTTAAGAAAATTATCATAGAATTAATATAATCTAGACCGTATAGTATGATTCCTCAGAGAATCAAGTATTTTAACTCACTTTTAATTCACTTATATTAATTTATTTTATGCCCACTTCTATATTTATGAGACTGTTTAGCCCACTGTATACCTGTACAACTATAATTAAGAAGACTAAAGAAAATGAAAATTTATAATTTGACACAACACTTTACATTTTTAGATCTTCTTATCTTTAACTGCTTCATATTTTTAATTTAGGGTCAATCAGCCCTCTTCTTCATCCTCCGCCTTGCTTGTCAATATCACTTTGTTGTTCGCCTTTCCTTTCATGTAAAATGTTCGTTTAGATATGAACAACCTGCACACATATATAATTTAAATTAACATAACTAATAATATTTGTGATCAGCAAAATTTTAATCTATGCACCGAGCTCATGGTGTCCAACAATATTCAGCTTTTTATGATGATAAATTTTTGGTTGAAAATTTTATCTCAAAAATTTTAAGTGGAAAATTTTAAATAACTCTTCAAGGAACTTATTAAACTAATTAATTTGTCTGTTTATCGCTGAAAAACACAGATATATAGTATGTTTGTGTATGCAACAAAGTATGTAGTTCACATTTGAGGACTGATTGTCAATCAAAAGATCAATATTGTCCATTCCATCCCATTCGAAAATTTTATTTTCGGTATGCCACAGAATAATAATGAGCAATCCATTTTACACGATTTTCTCAAACTCTCACGAATAAGAAAACTATTTTTTACACTACTAGCTGGAGAAGCTAGTATCTTTACTCGTGAGTTCATCTAAATATCAAGAATTAGCCTAAGGTATGCAGCTACCAAAAACAAGAAAAATCGTATTGGGAAAACATATTACGAGATTTAGGAGAATAAATTTTAAATAAATAAATATCTTATATTACCGTTCTATTTGGACATGCTAAAGTTTGAATAAGAGTAGAATTATATCAAATGCTATAAATTTTTTAAATTTATTTCAGAATGAATTTAAGAACTTTCTACAAAATATTTGACAAATTTATATTAAATTCTTCTTAAATCTTATAAAGTGGCCAAACAATCAGTATAGAAGCTATCTAAAGCCAAAGTTTCGTTGCATTTAAAATGTGTTAAATTTAGAAAAATAAATTTCTTTTTTGGGTGATGGCTCCTTTTTTTATAATAAAACCCCACAAAAGAAGCCTACACGTTAATTAAAAAAACAAAAATGCAAGTCCTTAATGACTCCAATGCTCGCTAGAAAATACAGTATTTGAATCAAAATCTAAGAAACTCAAAATTAACATTGTTGCGGTCCGAAAGATTCGTGGCGGTAGAGTGAGTAAACTTTTTATCTTAGTGATGCACGAATATCCAACACACAAACAGAAAGAGAGAAAAAGAACACCAAATCTTTTTTTACGTGGAAAGTCCGAAGAGGGAAAAATCACTGGGCCTTGCCCAGGTGAAAATATTCCACTAAACTTGAGTGAATTACAAGGGTTGACCCGTCCCTCAATTTAGAGGCGGTCGAATTACAGTGATTTGGAGAGACAGATGTCCGGCAGGTGGCGGCCGGGCGGCAATCCGACGAAGGTCGGGCTGAAGTCTGG